TCAGAAAATGATGAAGGGTCTAGGCCCGAAACGTCAGCCTTCCTGCTCCTATGACGCTGCCTGGCCTGCTGTGTTCATCCAGCTCTACACCTTGTTATCTCAGATTCTCCACCATCTGCAGTTCCTACCATCCCGGCCTGAAATGTCAGCTTTCCTGCTCCTCTGATGCTGCCTGGCCTGCTGTGTTCCTCCAGCTCCTCCATACCTTGTTATCTCAGACTCCAGCATCGGCAGCTCCTACTATTCCAGGGGAAATGTTTAATCCTGTCTAACCTATCTATGCTCTTCATAATTTTATTATCAATTATGTCCCCCTTTCAATCTCCTCTGCCCTCTGGAAAGGCTGTCATTGCAAGATGCAAGGAAGACAGTTAGTCATTGACTCCCCAAGGTACCCAACTATTCTGCAGTGTTTAGATTGAATCGTGATGCCCCCTGTAACCAAATATCCATCAGCCAGTGCTCTTTTGGGAGAAGTCTGTGCTGTGTAACTCTGACTCTAAGTAATTGAAGTGGTTTACTTGAGCTTAGTGCACCCTCTGGTGTCTAAATAATGCAACAACCATCAAAGCTGACAACGCTGAATGACAAAGGAAGTCCTGGCTAACTACTGTGGTCCCCCACAGTTACAGGGGTCAGGCTCAGCTGCGTTGCTGTTCCCGGTGAGAGATTCAGGAGCCTGTGCCTTCCCCTCTTCCTGCAAAGAAGTGCAATGTTACAGCAGTGACTGTCCTTCAAAAGTACTTTAAATCACAATCTCAATCAAACAGTAGCATCTGTGGACAGAGAATTAGAGTTAATGTTTCTGATGAAGGATCACCAGCCTTGAAAAGTCAGCTTTGTTTTCCTCTCCGCAGATGCTGTCAGAGCTGCTGAGTTTCTCCAGCACTTCCCTGTTTTTGTTTCAGATTTCCAGCACCTGAAGTTCTTTGTTTTCAATCACTGCCTCAACGTTTTTGCGTCTTTATAAAGGAGATATCTCAAATCACAGAGATCTCAGGGCACTGGAGGCCATTCAGCCCAGTGTACCTGCACTGGCTTTTGGAACGAGCACCTTTTCTCAGGTGCTGATCTCCTCCTTTTCCCTTTCCCCTGCATATTGTTTCTATCCAAATAATCGTTCAGCATCCTCCTGAATGTCTGAATGAATCTACCTCCACTACATGACCAGGAAGTACATTCCATACCCCAACCACTCACTAAACTTTTCCCTCACATTTTGCAAATCACTTTAAAGCTTTACCTTCTCGTTCTGCAAATACAAACAGCCATTTGTTAACTCATCGTGGAAGCACAACCATTTTGCAGCTGGGTGGGCTTGGGGAGGGGTTGTGCTCTGACACAGGATACAAAGATGGACAGGAGATTGGAAAGGCAGATTCAAAACATTGCTTTGAATTGCAACAGTAAAATAAGATAGAGCCCTCAAACACAGGGTTTAGGCAAGGGCCTAGTGGTATTATCACTAGACTATTAATCCAGAAACTCAGCATTCTGGGGGACTTGGGTTCGAATCCTGCTACAGCAGATGGTGGAATTTGAATTCAATTTTTAAAAAAATCTGGAATTAAGCATCTACTGATAACCATTGTTGGGGGAAAAACCCATCTGGTTCCCTAATGTACTTCAGGGGAGGAAATCTGGCCTACATGTGACTCCAGGCCCACAACAATGTGGCTCACTCTCAATTCCCCCTCTGGGCAATTAGGAGATGGATAAGGGGGAGGTGCATCTCTCGTGCACCAATTGATAAGTGGTTTAAATGCCCCACAATCAAGATGACAACGTAGTGGTTAGTACTGCTGTGTCACAGCATCAGGGACCCAGGATTCCACCCTCGGGTGACTGTCTGTGTGGAGTTTGCATATTCTCCCTGTGTCTGTGTGGTTTCCCTCCAGGTGCTACAGTTTCCTCCCACAGTCCAAAGATCTGCAGTTTAGGTGGACTGGCCATGCTAAATAGTCTGGAGTGTTCAGGGATGTGCAGGCTATGTGGGTTAGCCATGGTAAATGCGGGGTTATAGGGTAGGGGGGATGGATGCTGTTCGGAGGGGCAGTGTGGACCTGATGGGCCGAATGGCCTGCACCCACACTGTAAGGGTTCTGTAAGGTGACAGTGCAGGCTGCTGCTTTACGCAAACCAGCACCACAGAGCTGGGCTCATCCATAGGTACACACGGACTCAGTTTTATTTTGTGCTGGGTACAAAACGCAACAGGCTCACACTATTCTTGGGACAGCAGTGGGTGAGAATGGCCTGTGGAAAAGTAATATTAGTTATCAAAAAAAAAAACAGCTGGTGAAATCACACTGTGTTTAGCAACAACAACTCAATCACTGGCCTGTGAAAGGTTCTATAATTTTATTTTCTTGTTAGAGCAAGCCATCTCAGGAACAGATCTCTGTTGTTTCTTGCAACAAGCATATCCACAAAATTTACGACATGGTCAATGAGAAACGATCCCTTGGCATTGCCTTATTAAACACACCTCAGACACAGTAAAATCTCCTCATGGCAGCTATTCATGTGATTCCCAAATTAGGGACATTGTCTCTGGTGGGCGTTCTGATGCATTCTGGGGGTCGTGGGTCACATTTCAAACTCGCAAGTGAGGCAGAGACCCCACAATTTTGCCCAGTGGGAAACCAGAGACTGGACCAGAGAAGCAGGGGACAGGTGAGTGAATGCCTTGGGGACTGGAATCAATAGTCAAAGGAGAGTCGAAGCAGGAGGACACTGATGTTTCATGGATACCACACTCCTGTCGGCAACTGAAATCTGCACTCTTCCAAACAGCTCCCAGAAACAGACAGTGCAGGGATTCTCAACTGTCCATGGACTTTTTTTTAATCAGACCCGTCGATGTTTTGAGATAACTGTACAGAAATCTTGAAAGACTCAATCGCACTGCTGAGAATTTCATCATGAGTAAATATAAAATGAGTTTGTGGCACCAGTAAAAGTGGATCGGAGGTCAGGTCCTGTAAAACATTCACATCTCAACCTTAACACTGCCTAAGGTGTCAGGCAGAGGAGAACAGAAATAATGTGAACAGGATACTCACAACCACCCATCCAATAAAGTAGGGCATATGAGGATTTTATAAAGTTGCAGATAAAATATTTGAAATAACTTGAGTGAGTGACACACACACACACACACACAGACAGTTAGAGAATCAGAGGAAGAGAGAGAGAGAGAGGCAGAGAAAGTGAAAGCAGTCAAGGAAGACTAAGAAAAAGACAGAGTGAGAACGTGAGAGAAATTAGGTGAAAAGTCAGTAAAAGAAAGCTCACAAACCCTGGTCTACAAGTTTGTGTAAAATGGCTACAGGTTGAAGGTTAACCCCACAAAGTGTCCATTTGTGGTTGGCTTATACAAGGCCTTTCTGGGAGGGAGTGAGTTGCAGCCAGTCTTTGAGTCAGTAGATTCGTTTACACAAGTTCACTCCTCAGACAGGTGAGGATGCTGGTGAAGGTCAGAACCCAGCTGCTCCAGGAATCAATCTGTGCTCAGCAATCAAATGGCAAAACTGAAAAAAAAATAGAATGCTTTGTCAGAGAAACAAATGCTTTGTAGACTTATACAAGTCAAAACTGCTTTGCTTTTTGCTCAAATCTCCCAACCCCAAACCATTCTCCCTTCAGTTTCACACCTTCTCATTAAAAATAACACATGCTGGGACAGAATCCTACAGCTATCAGATGCTCTTCCCTACAGGTAGGGAAGAGGGAATTTGTTTGGTATAACAGGGGCAACAAAGTCAAGAAATTGTATCTGCTTGTATCTGACGTGTGTGTACACACAGAACACGGTATATGTAGACAGACACATTTTCTAGCAGGGTATCGTTGCATAATGATCAGGAATATATACTTGTCCGATCTTCCCCTTGCAAGTTAACAGTTCCATTTTGCCCCATTCATGCTGAATGAGATTGGCAAACAATGCAGTGATGAAACCATCATGGAATCTTAGCACAGCACTACACTAAGTGCATATATATCCACTAGGACAACATAATGTCAGACATGTATAGTGCAGTTCTATAGTAATGTATAAATACATGTGTTGGTTGCCTAGTGCTACTCCAGACATCTTTATCCCCCAGTACAGAACTACACCAGACATGTATTGATCCCTAGTACAGCACTACACTCAACACTGTAAAGACCATATCTTTTTATTTTTCTATATTTTTGATCATGGACTGACACGGGAAAAGGACTGTTTTTAAAGCCAAGAGTGGGGGATGGTGTTAACTGCAGATGAACTGGAGCCGGAACTGTGTATGAAGGAAGATTCAGCCAGCAACAAGTAGCTGATTGGTCTGTTTAACGGTGACCAGTTGTCAGTGACAAAGGCTTTCTGCTTATACAACTATGTGATTGGCTCCCAGGTAGCAGAACAGCTTGTGGGTGTGAACATGATGGCCCAGATACGTCCAGACCTCTGGAAAGGAAGGAAGCAATTTACTTTCTCTCACCAGTGATGTAAGCTGTTGCTTTTAACCAGTAAAGTCAGAGACTTTATAAATTGTGAAGCAATCGCTTTAAGCCTCCTGCAAGCAAGTGAAAGCAGCTAGAGAAGACAGACTAAGGTAGAGAGAGTCCTGACAATCTAAAAGACTCACCTCCGCAAACTCTGTATCTAGGGATCATTGAACTGCCTTCCCAGTTTTTCCCTCCACCCATAATACCAACGTTTTGTTGTCTGTATGTGTGCATAGGGTTTTTTTTTTTAAAGGTTTTAGAGTCTCACCTATCAGAGTAATGTGTCGACAGTTCATAGTTGTTTAGCTGCAGCTAGAATCAATTTGTAATAAATAGTAATTCCTATTAGGTACAGAAATCTGGCTCGCACTTTTTGTTAACCTGAGTCTAAAAGACAAGGAAATTGGAGATTTTGTGTGCTTTAATAAAATCTTTCACTTCTGCGATGGCCCGGGAATAGTGGTGCTTGATTGCCAGTGCACTCCAGTGAGGTGAGACAGCATGTATTTATTCTCTAGTATAGAACCACACCAAATGTGTAATTATCTTCTAGTCCAACACTATATCTGTATTTATCCCCTTGTACGGCTCTACACCAGATCTGCATTTACACCCAGTTGGAAATTATATTAGACAGGCGTACTGCACTGCACAAAACCAAGTATTTAACCAGTAGGTGATATTGTTGCTCTCTCTGTAGTGTCTGCTCTGTCTTACCTTCCCAGTGTGCCCCCAGCATGGGTATAATATTTATTGTAGTCAAGTCGCAGCAGAAGCTGAGCCAGGTCAGAGTTAATCTGGTGATTGCGAACACTGGAGAGGATCTTGAAAAGCAGGGACGATTGACGACTAAAGCCCTAGGATTCACCAGAACAAAAGGGAAAACAAATCAGCAGCATTCTAAAGGAGGATCGTCTGTGCTTTTAAATGAAAGACCTGAACTCATCAGCACCAGCAGTAATGATTAAACTCCCACTAATTTCCAACTGTTTTGCAGAGATCTCAGATTTCTGGTGCTAACATAACCTGTGGTTCTAACCTCAGTTTATTGACCACAACGTGAGCAAGAGAGAGGAAAAGAGTAAGACACAAGCAGCGACATGAAGGCAGAGAGGGAGGGAGGCCGGGGTGGGGGGGGGGGGGGGGAGAGAGAGAGACGAAAAGATGGAGAGGGAGGAAGTTACAGAAAAAGACACAAGTAGAAACATAAAGACTAAAGAGAGAGAGAGCGAGACAGAGTGGTGAAGAGGATAAAATGAATATTCATCTTCATTTACTTCCTTGTGCACAGAAAGATTTCAAAAACAGCAAACGAGATAATCAGTCTGTTTGCCCTTCTTGGGGTTGGTTCAGAGGGAAATGTTGGTCAGAATACCTTCTGCTTATTTTCAAATGCACCAAGGGATCTTTGAGAACCACCTGAGCAGGTTGAAGAGGTCTCACCTTAACATTCAAGAATCAAACTCATATGTACACAGGTACAAGAGCTCAGCTCAAAATCCAGCAGGAATCTAGCTCAGATGCAAGGAGCTAATACAGCCAGACACACACAGAAAGAACAATAGTTTACAATTGGTCTCACCGTCACGAGAAGCTCCAACTGTGAGCTACCACGTTCGTCCAAGGGCCCTGGGTTCTGACTGACCAGGGAACAGAAGTTATGGCACAAATCGAGAATCTCATTCAGACAATGGAACACCTGCAGAGATTGGGAAGAAGCATGTGGATGTCAGAAGCCTGTTCATTAAAATAAAGTGTTAGAATAGTGTTAGAAGTGTGGAAGCAGGCCATTTGGCCCATCGAGTCCACACTGACCCTTCGAAGTGCATCCCACCCAGACCCACCCCTTTAACCCTGCATTTCCCATGGCTAACGCACCTCGTCTGCACATTCCTGGACACTATGGGCAATTTAGCATGGCCAATCTACCTCACTTGCACTGTGGGAGGAAACTGGAGCACCCAGAGGAAACCCATGCAGACATGGGGAGAATGTGCAAACTCCACGCAGACAGTTGCTTGAAGGTGGAATCGAACCCAGGTCCCTAGCGCTGTGAGGCAGCTGTGCTAACCACTGAGCCACCGTGCCATCCTTGTTTTTCGAGATGCATACACATGGAGTTTTGAAAATCTGAATAATTGCCATTTGTTTGTTCCGCTCATCCTGTACCAGTCCTATCACAGAACACTCTCTTCTGCTCTCTCCTCCTCACTCTCTTTCTCCCTGGGCTCCCAACTTGCTATAAAACTGTGAAAACTCTAACTTCTCCCAGATCTAGTGAAAGTCATCAACAGAAATATGAACTCTGTTTGTCTCTCCACACGTGCTCCCTGACTTGCTGAGTATTTCCAACATATTAGGTTTTTATTTAGCCATATAAACACTGACCCAAACAACAGGACAGACGCCGGGAATTTTTCAGCGAGTAACTCATCTCCTGCCTCTCTAAAGCCTGTCCATCATCTACAAGACACAAGTCAGGAGTGTGATGGAATACTCCCCACTTGCCTGGATTGGTGCCGTTCCAAACACACTCAAGAAGCTTGACAGTATCCAGGACAAAGCAGCCTGCTTGATTGGTGCCACATCTACAAGCATCCACTCCCTCCACCACCGATGCTCAGTCACAGCAGTCTGTACTATCTACAAGATGTACTGCAGAAATTCATGAAGACTCCTTAAACAGCATCTTCCAAACCCACAACCACTACTATCTAGAAGGACAAGGGCAGCAGATACATGGGAACACCACTAGCTGTGAGTTCCCCTCCAAGCCCCTCACCATCCTGACTTGCAATTATATCGCAGCTGCTGAGTCAAAATCCTGGAACTCCCTCCCTAACAGAACTGTTGGTCTACCTACAGCACATGGACTGCAGTTGTTCCAGAAGGTAGCTCACTACCACCTTCTTAAAGGCAACTGTAGTGATGCCAACATCCATGAATGAATAAGATAGTAAAATTCCAATTTCTAGAATTTAAGGTAGAATCAGAACATTATATGGTACGAATGGAGGCCATTTGATCCATCGAAACTGAACTAATTCTTGGTACAGCAAGTAACACGACTCTCTGTTCTTTCCCCAGAGCCTTGTATCACAATTCACTGGATAAATTTGCTATTTTCCCCTCAATTCATCTCTGCTGATAATAGATAGTGTGTCCCAAATCTGTGTCCACTGCTTACTGACCGTTCTGCCACTAGAAACCTTTACTCCATCAAAACTGTTTAGCGTTTTCCCCAATTTCCCCAGCTTCTCCAATCACATGAGTCACAAAGTCTTCCCTCTCTGGTAATATTCCAGTAAATCTTTCCTACACTCTCTCTAAGGCCTTGACATCCTTCCTAAAGTGCAGCGGTTTGGAATTTAACACCGTACTCCAGTTGAAGACTAGCCTGTGTTTTCTAGAGGTTCAGGGAAATTTCCTTGCTTTCAGGGTAAGTGTACTCACCGGTTTAAGGAGGATGAATGACTGAGCCAGCAGATTACTCAAGAAACGATCATGCGCCAACCGAACGCTCTCGAAATCTCGGATGGAGTTTATCTCCTGGAGGAGCTGTGAAAACTGGGACTCGAGGACATCTACCTGCAATATTACAAGTTGCTAATTAGCATTGCAGGGAAACTTAAGTCTGGAAGTATAGCCTACCGATGGAGCTTCGAAGAACACCAGCTGCTAATTTGCTTCAGCCTAATGTTTGTGTTGGGAAATTTCACCTCTTAACCTTAGCGCTGGACACAGCTTTACAAGTTTCAATGTGAACAAATACAAAACCAATTATATTAAACATCAACAAAGAATCTAAGAGGAGAAGTAGACCATTCAGCTCCTTAAGCCTGATCTAATTCTGGCATTAGTTGTGCTTTCTTGTTTGCTCCAAATAATCCTCTACCCCTCATCGATCAATCAAGATCTATCGAACTCTGCCTTGGATATATTCAATGACACAGCCTCCAATGCTTTCTGAGGAAGCAAATTCCACAGGCTTACGACCCTGAGAGGGAAAAAAATATTCTCGCCTCCATCCCAGACAGGAGTCCTCCTATTTCGAAACTGTGTCTCCTAGTCATTGTCGAGGCGCTGCTCAGGATTATAGCTTCATTCTTCTGTGAGTGCACTGGATCTGTGCATCTCACAGACAGTGCTCTATTAGTGTGAATTCCTCCTATAACCTTCTGCACCTTTGTGCTGCAAGTTGCTGGTTTCGAAGTGATCTGGTCTGTGAGGGCAAGAGGCAATTGGAGAATTCGGTGAACAGCAGGATTTACACTGTATCTCCTTAATAATGAGGATTGAACAATCGAGACAGAAACTGATGGTGGAGGAAGGCTGATTAGAATCAGGTCAGGTAGAAAAAAAAGGGGAAAACGATTAGGATAAAAGAGAGAGCGAGATAAAGAAATAAGAAGAGATACATCCAAGTGGCAACTCATCACACGAGTCCATCAGAGAGTTTCAACAAGCTACCCTGACAGTGAGCTGTGCATCACATCTGTAGATAACAACACATACATACATTCCAGGAGATATGATCAGGAGTGGAAAACAGCATCCTTATTTCATAGAATCCCTACAGAATCGCTTGACTGTGGAATCAAATCCAGGTCCCTGTGAGGCAGGGATTCTAACCACTGAGCCACTGTGACTCCCTATTTGTTTCCTCATTAAAGGTTGGGAAGCTGAGGAAATTGAAGTGCTTCAACAGCTGGCTGAAATAAGGTCAGCCAACTCTTTCAAATACTAGAAGAGCAAACCTGGGGTCTAACTTGTTGTGTACACTTTGGTGTCACATTGTGCATTTTACACACAGCATCCGTGCAAAGATTAATAGAGATTTAGAGTTCAAGTGACACATTTTCAAAGATGCAACACAATTTCTTTCTGTTCAAGCTCAGAACAAAAAGTAAATGGTATGTGCACATATAGACGTGTCTGCAACACATGCACTGCAAATACAATTCAAGATGTCTTAATAATTGTAAGACATACTTTGCTGCATGAATTGATTGGATTTGGTAAATCCCTCTGTGTGAAACAAGTTTGCAGAATTATGTAGTTGACTAGCTGTCATCTTGCTCATAGTTCCCCACAGTCATGATGTTTCAGTTATTAATGTTTTGTGCCACTACGTCCCTCAGGGTTATGGTCCAAACAGGCATATCCTGCAGTCACTTAGGGGCTAATTACTACTACACTAAGTTGGCAGCTCACTCACTTCTGCCTTTGAAGAAAGACCAGGCTCTTTAATTCTTATTTTGTTTATCCTTTTACACATTGTCAATTGTAATTTGTTGATTTCTGTACAAAGCACAACCTAAAGTGATATGTGATTGGAAATAGTCATATACACTCCTGTACATGTGCTGCAAAGTGAACAGGTAGTCTGGGACTCTCTTTAAAATCATCTGACAGACTCCTTTTAGAACCATGTAATTTCAATTAATTATCAATATATTGAAATTGAGATCAATTAATGGTCAGTAAACTGACCGTTTCATGTTTGTTAATATACAAGTAGTTAAGGTTAAAGGGGAAACAGACAATTTGTCTAAAAAATAAGTTTAATTAATTAATTGATAGCTGGCTATACAGGTATAAAGGCGGAAGAACTGGTATTGAGGGAGAGAGCTACTATATTGGCACAATCAATAAACCAACCAGATTAGAATCTAACAGCATTGGTAAGGGAAGGAGCAAATTAGTACAGATGCTGGAATTTGTACTGAAAACAAAAAATGCTGGAGATCACAGCGGGTCAGGCAGCATCCATGGAGGGAGAGCAAGCTAACGTTTCGAGTCTAGATTTCTCTTCATCAGAGCTCTGATGAAGACAGCTTTCTAAAGGTGGAGATTGAAAACCATGTTTTCTTTCAGACACAAGATTTAATTGGAGTTACTTTGGAGACGAATAGATGAAACTCATTGTAAAAATATTGGGCTATGGCTTCTCACCAACTTTTGGTGAAGCTGAATCTAATGATCTCTTGAAAATGATGTGGATACATGAACACAAGTTGTGTCTTTACTAAGAAAAAAATCAAGGCACTGTCACTTCCTTTAAGTAGGATCTGGTGTAAAGTACTTTCAGAGTGAGACGCTCAACAACTGGACACAGAGGGAGGTTTTAAAATCTATTAAAATTTATGGACAAATTCATAAGAAATATCACCTATTTAAGGCATTCAAGGTATAGTCAGACTCCAATAAATTTAGAAATCTGGATGGTGATTCTATAGAAGAATATATCAAGGAGTTTAACAGATTATAAACAAAATTGTAAATGTTCTATTTGGAAAGATCTAACTCAATGCTGCCATTTAAATTATTAGATTGTGCCAAGGTGTGGTTCAATACCTAGTGTTAACTGGAGTTAAATTTTCTACAGGAAACATGCTTTTGGAACAGATGTCAGAAACCTGAACAAAAATTCCTGGGAAAACATTCACTCCCATCCGCCTTCATTGTTCAAAAGGCACATTCAGCAGTAAAACAAACGACAAATTCAATGTTAACGACCTTTCAGGACCATCTGGCTGCGGAATTCATTAATGAATGTGCAAGAAGAATTGTACCCAGAAGGAATGAGGATAGAGACACTTTTGGTAACCAGAAAGACAAAATGAATTGTGGAAACTTTAACAGCAGAATTAACTTCAAGAATGCCTGGGGAATGGTCAACTGGTTTTAAAATGCAGCTCTAAATACCATTATGCAATGAATCGTTGGAAATGGAATAACAAGTTTTTGACATGATACATTACACAAAGGTTCAGAAGATTCAGAAGTTGAAGGGACTGTTCAGGCAGAATGAACTGTACTGGTTACAAGAAGCTTCAGCCCAATAATGAAAGTTTCAGTCACATATTCATTCAACTGTGCTCAGTTGAGTAATGAATGTACATACATAGTTTGCAGAGTGAATTTGGTTAAAATGTTTGAACAATGGCGATCAAAGTAAGGTTAAAGATTTTGAGAATTTGTATTAGATTTGGAGCTGACCACATACTAAATTCACTAAAGAGTCATAATTCTACGTAAAATAACTGGGGTAAACCACTTTATCAGCACAACTGTTGAATCAAGTGAAATATTACTGTTGGACAGGCTGCATATGTAAAGGCTCAAATAGAAATGGATATGGAATACTACGAGGTAACTGTGGGAAGTTAAGTGGATTTGGAGTTTGTACAATCTAGACATTATTGCATTCTTGTGATGATGCTTCTCCAATTAAAATATTAAAGAAATGTTAGTAGCATCTGGGAATAGGCACTTTAGTGAAAAACAGATTATTGTAGTTTTAAAACTTTGAAAATTTTCCCATCCATCTTCTCATAAGCTAAAAATACTACTAAACGATGCAGGAGGAAAGGACACTAGTACACTAAACTGTAGGCAAGATCTGTGATTGATGTGACATCTGTTTAAAATAAAATTGAAGGACACTATCACATCCTACATCAAGTACTGATGTAGCAAGTGGGGAAACAGCTGACAGTGGGACAGAAGTGATGGACTGGTACCAATAAATTCTCTGTACAAAGAAAATCTATGTTTCTTAGATTCTGTTTGACCACCCAAGTTAGAATCTCTAAACACAGATCAGAACTTTGCATACCATGCCCAGATGCATTTCTTTCTTTATTTTAACAAGATTGTTCTGCATTCCTAAAAAAAAAATTGAAATGTGGTGTCTAAAACTTGGGAGAGAGACACGATTTTTTTCTGATTGTGGGCCTAAGAACCTAAGAATCAGAATGGTCAAACTGAAGAAAAGATTTTTTTGTTCCTACACAGTGCAAAGGGGCAATGTTTTGGTTAGTTGACAGGGAGTTCAAAACAAGCGACTGCAGAGAATTTAATCCATCTAGTGTGGGCCTTTGGAATGTAACAACCATCCAAACATTGGCGTGATTGTCAGAATAGGAACACTGCAAGTGGGGAAAAGCAGAACTGGGTGACTGTATTGTCCTAAGAGTATAAATTAAATGACACGACCAGTGAGGGAGTGACTGGCTCCAACCGAAAAATATCCTATAACATTATAGGATATGAAGGGATAATCATAGGGGATAACAATTAAACAAGTCATGTTAAGTATGGGGATGGCTACCTGCCAGTTCCTGCTCGTGGAGCATCAGTTGTTGTTTTCCTATGAAATAAAACAGTGTATAAAAGGAACATCACACAAGCATGGCACCAGACAAATTAACCCTGCCCAACCACCCCACTCCCACCCATACACATCAGGTTCCAACTGAATTCTCGACATTGGCCCGCAAAGGATTAAAAGTATTTTATTCTTAACTAATCCTTATTACGCAAGATGTCTATTTTACACCTCTGAGGTTGCAAGTCCAGGTCTTTGAGTTGCCTAACCCTTCCCAGCATGGCCACTGCGGCAACGACTTGCCTGTGGGAAGCACTGACTCCTTCCGTACCTCTCTGCAGCCGGTGCCGTTCCTACCTGCGGGGAAGAGCTACGTGGAGTGCTGTAACACAATGAGGAGCGCTGCATGCCCTGAATAGGTGCGGAAATAAGTGTAATAAAATCAGTACATACGGAAGTCAGGGGCCACAGATAAAGTTGCTGTTATACAAGAAAACTAAAACACTCTTATATTCTCATGCTAAAAATGATTTTGCAATTGGACAACAGTTGCTGGACAATCCAGACTGTGTTAAGAATTATACTAACAACCAATTTAAGATCATCAGTTGAGTTTGCAATGTGGGTCTTTTATGCTTGCTGGAAGCTACATATATGAAGGGATCTGCCGTCTTTGGGGAAAGGGAATATGTCCAGGCATCCTGCCTTTATACATTAAACAAAAGACTGGTCCCTGGTGTAATCTTCATGGCAATAACGTGGCCAATCAGCTCCCTCTTCTAATGCAGTATTAATGACTGCTCCTTTGAAATTTTGCATTCTTGGATCTGTCCTGATGAGTGCAAAACAAGGAAGTTCTAAGGCATATTTCTTTTTTCCAGTTCTAATCAAGTTCTGTCCACCAAGCAGCTACTCCTATATTTGTTACAGAAGGTAGGATTTTTTGGGAGCATAGAATAAGATGAGCATCCAACCCATTGGAGATGTCCACCTTCAGCATCCATACATGGCTGCCTCAGTCATGTCCTTCCATTGCAGCAGCAAGATCACTGTGCTCCCATCCTTGCTCTCAGGAAAATCAAGCAGGTTCCACAATATCTCTCACTTTCCTTTATTCAAAACACAGGGTCATACACTGTCCCTAAAATCTTGTGTCCTGCCGTCCTTGTCACTTGTGATGTTAACATTTTGGGTGGTGGAAATGTGAGAGAAACAAAACACTCTAAAGCAATTGAGCAGTTGCCTTGAGTCACTATTTCAGGTGTATCAATAATGTTCATTCCTAATCCCTCTAAGAAAAGATGAGAGAAAAAAAAACTGTCCACTCTTCAGCTCAGTATCTTTTTCGATCGATACAGAACAAACTATTTATTTCTTAAAAAATCAAAGAACTGCAGATGCTGGAAATCAGAAACAAAAACAGGAATTGCTGAAAGAACTCAGCAGGTCTGACTGCATCTGTGGCCTATTTGTTTTCCCCATCTCTTGCACATATTCTGGGGTTGTGGGAGGGGAATTAGATTTCTAGATCTAGATTGATATTTGTGACTTTGAATTCTTCTGTTCTATGCTTACGTTAGGAAAACTGTCCACTTTAGTTCTAGCTGTTGTTATATTGGCAATCCCTCCACACGTTCAGTTTTCTCCCAAATGAAGAGAACGAGTACTGGCAAGCTTTTCAAAAGTGAGAAGTTTTACAACAGAGATTAACTGTGATTAACTCTTTCCCATAGGAGCTGGAAGCTAGGTCAATTTTTCTAATGTGTCTAATCCAGGGGCAACATTGTCAAGTGAAGATGATCAATAGAGGGATCTGCTAACAGCATCCCAGACTTACCACGCTAGACTCCAATAACCAACAAGATTAGTACTGGCAGAGGAAATGACTGTTCGCTTTTGTTGATAAGGGTCTGCACAAATAATGTTTGAAAATAAAATTGCTTGTTCACTTGACTTCCAGTTTATGATCTGCTTCATGAGAGCTAAGAGGAGGGGAAGATAAAATGACAATTGTAGAAGGGAGGGAAGTACAGGTAGATATATGATCGTGTCTTCTGCCCAAGCCCCCGTTCCAAATCTTTGGAACTAGTATAAGCAAGATGGCGATACTAATTATTTGAATGTTGACATCATCTTTTCACCAACTTGGATTATTTGGATGAAGATCTGCCTGCTGTAAGGGTTCTGCATGAAATGAGTTTGGGGAGCCTTGATCCACCACTGAACAGATTTCCACACCAAAAATATAACAAACTGGCCTGAATTTGATGTTGAAATGTCAATCGTGGACACAGGAGAGCTAACAGGGGGAACAGGAAACCTGTTATAGAAAATCAACTTCAGTGAGAACAAACAAACTGGCAAGACAACATTTCATCCTGCTTCCTACCTACAAATTCCGGCTTTCAAAAAATTAATTCGTGGGATCAGGACATCGATGACAGACAGGGCCCTCGATTTAATATCTTATCCAAAAGATAGCATTGGCAACAGTATGATTCAGTACGATTTCCTGGGCTCTTTATGGAGCTGGCCAAAACCATTCCCAGCAAAAGCACAGGGCCGCTTACCAGGAAGGGGAACCTGACAACTGGTGCCTTCTGTTAAGTTATAAAATTGACCAAATAAACAAACAGTTAGTTAATCTATCCAGTGCGAATCAGTGGAGAGCTTTTGGTAATTATAAAAAAGATTGGGACACACATTGGGGTGGAGTGATTCCAGTAGATCAAAAATGTCAGTTGATAATTCAGCTATTTGGCAGATTGATTGCAGTCAGCTCTTTTACAGGGTGTCAACATTGGTATTGCACATAATAACTCTGACGCCAGTTACATTTGATTAAAAGCTGCCTTATGTTCAAAACACAATTGTTTCCGTGGCCACGAATATCCCAGGCAAACACTTGACACAGTCAGTCTATCACAGTGATAATGAAGAGTTCCGGTCAGAACCTAATTTTGTTTTGATCCAGTCCACGGTAAGATCTTTAAGGGCTTCAGACTAATGTTGCAACACCAACATTTGCAAATACTGTGTGAATGGAGTGTGCATGTGTGCACACTCTAATTGTGGTTGACAGTAGTTTATCCAGATTGAAGAAAACAGCTTGGGATCTTGTGAATGGGCAGGCAATATCACAAGGCTATTAATCCTGTATACCAATACATGAATTAAATCCCACCATGCAGATAGTGAAATTTGAATTCAACAAAAATCTGGGATCATGTGACATGATATCTCTGAACAGATTAATTAGAAAATATCTGGGATCTTGTTGGGTAGTATAGCTTTCCTACCTCCAAACCAAAAGCTGTGAGGTATGTCATAACGTGTCCAAACAGGTCATTACCTATGTACCAGCTTCCACCTGGGAGATGTTGGTGTCTGGACAGGTGATGGCCTAGTGGTATTATTGCTGGACTGTTAATCCAGAGACCCAGATAATGTTCGGACCCGGGTTCAAATCCCGCCAGGGCAAATGGTGGAATTTGAATTCAATAAAACGTCTGGAATTAAGAGTCTAATGATAACCGTGAATCCATTGCTGATTGCCAGGAAAAATCAATCTGGTTCATTAATACCCCTTAGGGAAGGAAACTGCCATTCTTACCTGGTCTGGCCTACATGTGACTCCAGACCCACAGCAATGTGGTTGACTCTGAACTGCCCTCTGGACAATTAGGGATAGGCAATAAATGCTGCCCAACTAGCGACACCCTCATCCCATGAACGAATAAAGGAAAAGCCTGGAAGGGAAAAATAGCCTGCACTTATGCTGTACAGGGTGTTGTGAATAAATTCCTATGGTAAACAGACTGGATCCACCTCCTCATTATTTCGGCAGAAGAACGTTTGCTGATTTAATATGCACTGCCTGTGAGTTATGAACTGCAAATACAGAGTTTACAATTTGGGTGCAAGTGTGCATGGGTTTCACAAGGAGTAATACATTTCGCAACAGATAAGAAAACGCCCCGTGAACCCACATCCATCAATCACAGGCACCACATTTATATCAGTGGGGAGGGGCTCAGAGAAGCAGTCATGAAGCATTTTTGAGATGCCAGATGACCTGAATTTCACTGTAATACCAAGTGCTCCCTGTAACACACCTTTCCCTCTCTTTGCATTCAACTGAATAGTATAAGAGGCCACAGCGGGACTTAAAATCCCTTTGCCGCAAATCACTGGAAATGAAATTAAAATGAAGCTTGTGCAAGCAATAACACATGGAATGATCCAAAACATTTTCCATATGGTGCAAGAGGATGTATATTTCATAGGAACACAAGAATGCCCCTCGAACCCATTCCATCATTTAGTGAGACCATCCTAGCTCCACGTCCCTTAATAAATAATGGCTAGAAAATGTACATCAAATTGAATTTAAAAATGATTGATCAAGCTGGCAGCTCCTACTTTTTGTGGGAGGATGTTCCCACATGTCTACAGTGCTTTTCTCAACTTCTCTCTGATTTTAAGATTACCTTATTCTTGAACCCCTGGTTCTCTTAACCTACCCTATTCATAATCCTAAAAGTTCTAATAAATTTCTCCTTAACCTTCTCTATCCCAGGGAATACATGCCTTGTAACCGTGTATTATACTGCGCTGAAGGTGATCATTTATTCTGTGTTACCTGGAGGTAATACTGCAGGTTATCCACAAGGAAAGCCATATGGTTCCTCAGTCTCCATTTGGTGGCATCTGACTTGTTGGAGGTGAGGTGTTTCCGCTGCATCTGCACAGCCCAGCAATGCTGCAGCTCTGCCTGAACTCGCCTCACACTCAGCAGGTACTTGAAGACAATGTTGTATCTGCGAGAGAAAACGAGAGGCAGAGTGAGAAACACATATGGAGTCCAGCATTCGAGTGAATCTTTTTCCATTCTGTGGCAGGTAATCAGACCCACACTCTTCAGTGCGGTACTGAGGAAATACTAAACTGTCAGAGGTGTCTTTGTTTGGGTAAGACATTAAATCAAAGCCCTGTTCCTACTTTCAATCAATGTAAAAGTTCTCACAGTACTGTTGCACAGGAACCAACATGTCACAAACTTAGACTTTCTGAAAGCCAATCTCAGAGCCTGTAGATTGAATCAAGCTAAGTAGATAAACAAAACAACCCTGGGCAGATCCAAATGGAGATGTCTCCATCCTGAAGCAATGTCAACATTTCAGGAGAACAGTCAGGTTCTTACAGGACAAGCAAATATTTCTCAACCCCATTCTCCTACCTTCATAACCCTTGATCTCCCTACTAATCTAGAACCTATGTCCTATCTACCTATGTCTTAAATACACTCAATGACTTAGCCTCCACGCCCTTCTGCAGCAATGACATCCTGCAGCACCCACCAACCTGGCTCCCTACAGCCCCACCACCTTAACCTCACACTTACCTTACGTATTTACTGTGAGATAGTAGCTGTCAAAGTGTCTGCTGGTGATTCTGGACCTTTAAATCTCAATATGCAGCAGCTGGCTGCTATGAAAAGGGGGTGTGCTTTGCTTCCAACCCTCCCCCCCACAGTTTTACACTATGAAAGAACTGTCAGAATGAAAGCACGGCTCTGCATTTCTGAAGGAGCTTGGAATGTGAATCTCCTGTTAGAAATGCAGAGCTCACTCCTTTTACAAAAAAGAAGGGAGGAGTATAATCCACATGAGTTTGCTATTCCTCAAAAAAATCAGTCTCATGTTTACCAGAGCACGCTGTGAGCTGCATATAATGTTCCATTTTCCTCAGACAGTAACAGCAGATGCAGACATCAGAAAGCCAATGGGTTCTGAATTATCTAAAAATGTCTTGACAACTTCTGGTTAGTTCCTACCCCGGTGACCAGGGCTTGTATGGGGCGGTGCGGCGGTGCAACAGTGAACCAGCAAGCCTGCAAACAGAAAGCATTGAAAAATCTCTCACTGTCTCGCTGTCCTGTCTGGAGGCAATAGAAAGTCTTCAGTAATAGCTAGCTGCCTTCCACTCACCTTTCTCTGCAACTCCTGCTGAAAGAGGAATAGCATGCCTTTAACGAGAGTGTAAGGACAAATTCTCAACCAGCAAATTAAAGACAGCATTGGTGTTCAAGCAACATCATCTCACTGTTAAAGAACTGAGAAGGAATTGAAAGGACAACAAAAAAGGCAATTCATCCAGACTGGTGCTATCAAACTGTGTTTCCCCAATTTTTTTTTCTTTTTTCACCCTTAATATCCATGCCTTGTCTGCCTTTGTGTATCTGTCTGCCTTTGGTATTTGGTGGCAAGGGGGGAGGTGAGGGTAGCATTTAAGCCAGTATAGAGATATGCTGTAAAGTTGTACAGCAGCAATTAACATTTCCTAACTCCTTTGGTTAAGGACAATTTGTCTGTAATGAAAGTTAATTTCTTGCTAAATACAGAAACCTGGCGAGTGTTTTTTCTTCCGGAGTTCATCAGTAGGAAAGATTAGGGAATTTTAAATCTTTTCATATTTGTGATGACTCCTTGGACAAGGCATTGGGGTTGAATTCCAAATCACTACCACTTCTGAGATAGTAGGAACTGCAGATGCTGGAGAATCCGAGACAACAAGGTGCAGGGCTGGATGAACACAGCAGGCCAAGCAGCATCATAGGAGCAGAGAGGCTGACGTTTCGGGCCTAGACCCTTCATCAGA